CTTGGAGGCGTTGGAGAACGCCATGGCGGCGTCGGGTCGCCTGGGGCGTCGCCCAGGGGGTCTCTGACGGGGGGGAGGGGGGCACGCTCTTTCCAGGCGACGCGTCTCAGCGGGGGCTTAGAAAATGTGTAGAACCTCAACCAGGTAGCTGCTGGCATTCCACATCCTATTGCGTGCCGAGAGACACGGTGGCGAATTATCGAAGACGCTTACGGTGAATCACCGCTGCCCCCTACCTTTTGGAATCGCCCATGTGGCCGAGCGTTGTGACAAGAGCTCTGCCAAGCTATCGGATCATGGGTTCCCCCAGCCGTTGTGGAAACCCTTCAGGGAACATTCGGGGGAGGATAGCGGGGAAGATCAGGAGGAGGACGAGGAGGAGGAGGAGGAGGCCGGGCAGGCCGCTGACGCCGCGGGCGACGCCCGAGTTGCGTGCGCGCGGGCCCCGAGCTGACGCTCCCCGCCGGGCTGGCGGCGGCGCCGCGCTGAACCGACGGCGGGTCGCGGGCAGGGCGGCACCGCGGCTGCCGCGCGGAGCAGAACGCTCGACTGGCAGGGGCGTTGGCGGGCGCGGCGCTGCTGCTGCCGCGGGGGGCGGCGCTGGGGAGGCGGCGGCCGGCTGGCGCGGCGGCCCGGGGGCGGCGGCCGGGCGCGGCGGCGCGACGGAGGTTGCAGGCCCGGCGTCGCGCGATGGCGGGCTGGCGAGCAGGCCGCCCGGGGGCTCACGGCGCTCGGCTACTGGGTCTTGCCGGTGCTCGCCGCGCTCTCGAGTAGCGGGCGCTAGCGGCCTCGGCTCTGGTCTTGGGGTTGGGGGTCTGCGCCGGCTCCTGACCGCAGAGCTCCGGCCGCGGCAGAGACCCGCGCGCACAGCCGGAGGAGGAGGACGAGGAGGAGGAGGAGCATGAGAAGGAGGAGGAGGAGGAGGCGGAGGAGGAGGAGGAGGAGCATTAGAAGGAGGAGATGAGGAGGAGGAGGAGGAGGAGGAGGAGGAGGAGGAGGAGGAGGAGGAGGAGGCGGAGGAGGAGGAGGAGGGGGCATCTCGGGAACCTCTGGGGGTACTGTTAGGGCCTCCTGGGGGCTTTCTGGGAGCCTCTTGGAGGCACCTTCGGGGCCTCCTTGGGCCTCTTGGGGGCCTTTGGGGACTTCTCGGGGGCCTCTATGGCATCCCTGGCCCGTCGGACGCCGTCGGAAGCCGTCTTGGGGGCCTCTCTGGGCCGAGTTGGGGCCTTCTTTGGGTGCTTCATGGCCGTCTTGGAGGCCATCCTGGGCGTTTTGGAGGCCGTATCGGGGCCGTCTTGGAAATTCTTGGCTCTGTCATGGAATCATCTTGGAAGCCTGCGGGGCCATCCTAGGGGCGATCTCGGTATACTCCTCTTGGGTCGTTTCGCGCGATCTCGGGACCATCTTGGGCAGTCTTGGTGGCCCCCTGGTCCGTCTGACGCCGTCGGAAACCGTCTCTGGGGCCTCTCTGGGTCGACTTGGGGCCCTCTTGAGGTGCTCCAGGGCCGTCTGGGCGGCCACTTTGGGCGTCTTGGAGGCCTCTTGGGCCGTCTTGGGGCTCCTTGAGGATGTCTTGGGGGCCTCTTGGGCCGTTGGGGGGCCATCTTCGAGGCCTCTTGGGCCATCTTGCATCTTGGGGCGATGTTTTGGGGGTCTTGGGCCGTCTCGGGCCGTCGGTAGCCAGGAATACAAATATAAGTGCCCAAATCCTTCAAACACCATGGAATATCAATTGATTTGGCCTGGTCGGGCCTTCGTCGATGCCCTCTTGGAGGCCTCCTGGGCCGTCTTGGAGACCTTTTTGGTGGCCTCTTGGGCCGTTTTGGAGCTGTCTTTGGCCGTCTTGGAGGCTTCTTGGGCGGACTTGGAAGTTTCGTCGGCCCTCTTGGGCCGTCGTGGGGGGCCATTTTGAATCATCTTGGGCGAAATTGGAGGCCTTTTGGGGCCGTCTTGGAGGTTCTTGTGCCGTCATGAGGTCATATTGGATGTATTTTGGGCCACCTTAGGGCGATCTCGGGTGCCTTTTGAGCCGCCTCGGGCTGTAGGAAGGCCGAAAAGAAGCAAATGCTAAAATCTTTCAAAAACCTGAAGGATAGATATCACGGGTATTGGCATCTTTGGGCCCTCCTGGAGGACGTCTTGGGAGCGTCTTGGGAGTCTTCGGCCATCTTGGAGGCTTCGTGGGAGGATTCGGAGGCATATTGGAGCCATCTTGGGCCGTCTTGATACCTGCTTCGGCGGACTTGGAGGCAACTGGGACCATCTTGGGCCATCCTGGAGGCAACCAACAAGTACATGATCTAGCGCGCCAGGCACCCCTGTGGCAAGACCCCTGGGGGTCGCGGACCTAGCCGGCTTCGGCCTATCCCGCCACCGTGTCTGGATTGCGGGCCAGAGTCCTCAGGACTATTTCTTGGGGTCTCGTGGGGGCGCTCTCGGGGGCCTTTTGGGGGCAGTTCTGAAGTTTCTTACGGGCCTCGGGGGGGCTTCTTGGGACCCTCTGCGGGGCCTCTTAGGGTTTCTTGGAGGCATCTTGGGGGCCTCTTGGGACCTCCTGGAGGCTTCCCGGGGCCGAGAGCTCAATATGTTCACTCGGGCCCTCCTCTGGGCCCCATCTCGGACGTTTTGGGGGCCTGTGGGGCCGTCTTGGGCGCCTCTTGGGCCGTTTGGGGGCCATCTTGGGCCGTTGCGGGACCCTGTTGGAGGCCTTTTGAGCAGTGTTTCGGCGATCTTGGGGGCCTCTTGGGCCGTCCTGAACGGGAAGCCGAAATGGCGAGAGCTCCAAAAATATGTCAAAAACTTGAGGCTTCTTGGGAACCTCCTCTTGGAGGCCTCTCGGGGCGACTTCGGGGCATCTTCGGCCGTCTGGCGGTCATTTTGGGCGTGTTTGGCCGACCGTTCGACGACTCGGGACCCTCTTAGGCCGTCTTTGGGGCCTCTAGGGTCCTCCTGGCTCGTCTTCGGGCGCTTATGGCGGCCCAACTGCTCAGGCGACACAGCCCGGCAGGGCGCTGTAGCGCCCGGGACCGCTTGGGACATTGGGGGTCCCTGCCCGTCAGAGCCCTTCAACACCACAAGCCCTCTGGCTCGCAGAGTTGCACGGGTTTGGAACGCTCCATTAATTACGTGCCGAAGGCACGGTGGCGGAATTTTAGGTTCAACGATTTTCGTTCGGGGGGGCATGGTTTCGATATGTGCATCTGTCTTTATGCGTGTGCCCCCTCTCAGAGATACATTTCAGAGGTAGCCTCGCGACGACCTATCGTACTTCATGCTGCACCTCTAGATGTTCCTTCCCTGGCCCTCATTAACGTCCACCCTTGTTCCTTTCGCCTTGCGCCAGTCAACTTTCACGCGCCTCGAGGCATTCATGCAAACTGCTCGACAGATCTACGAAAACATCCAGAACAACCTCTACGACCTCAGCAGCGAGGCCAGACACATGGCAGAGGAGTTGCCAGAGCAGTACGAGTTCACGCCGCTCATGACTTGATCCATCGTCACAGATGAAACTTTGGGTGTTATGGCCATTGGTCTCGCGTCAGCTGGTCTAGGGTGGGGGCAGCCGGGAGCGAGTGGTGAGGACGTGTGTGTGGGGGGGTAAGCAAGAATGATAGCCCACATTATTCGACGCGGAGATCCCTAGATGTCATCTCATGTCCTGGCACGTCGCGCTAAGACTGTCTGGCCCTGAGCTTCAGGGTGTGAGAGCGAGTCCGAGCGGACGACGAGTATAACGACGACGACGACACAAACAATCCCCAGCATCCGCAGCTTGTAGGACCCGTCGCCTTGGTTTCGGTCCTGTTTGCTCGGTCGGGCCCTGTCCCACGTTTCGCTCTAGGTCCCTTGGTCCGCCCTTCGTTTCGGTTCGGCCCCTCATGCCCTCGTTCGCGCGGGCCTTCACAGAGTGAGCGCATTGGTTCTAACCGAGGCGCACATAACAAATCCTTCTCTCGACATAGAAGTGGTCATCGGGCTCCGAGTGGATAGGAGTCGGAGGTGAAAACCGAGCGCCTCGCTCGATACACCCCCACGATCTGACCGCCTGGGGTGCTGAGGCCAGCGCCTCGTCCGAACCTCATCACAGTCGGTTCTGAAAGTATCAGCGTCCAATCCACCGAGCAGCTAACCGCATGAGACATCAATCTGGGCCCGAATGGGCAAACGTCCTGCCCCTGGCGGCTCCTCAGGGTAAACCGGCGCCTCTTTCAAGCCATCTTCACTTTCTGTTTTTAAAGCACCCATGTCCAATCCACCAAACTGGCGCATCGCTTGAAGCATCCCCACGATCTGGGTGCGAACGGGAAAATGTCCTACCCCCTCGCGGCTCCTCCCTGGGGTGCTGAAACCAGTGCCTCGCTCGTGACACCCTCACAACAGCACCAGCGTCCAAGCCACCAAGCAGGCAAACCACCTGGGGCATCTCCAATGTGGGTGCGAGCGGGCAAAGGTCCTACCCCGTGGCGGCTCCCCTTTGGGGTGCTGAAGCCAGTGCCTCGCTCGAGCCGTCCTCACAATATGCTTTCAACACGCCCTAGCCGAAGCCGCCAAACAGGCAAACCTCCTGTGACATCCCCACATGCTGGACGCGAGCGGGCAAATGGCCTACCCCCTGGCGACTCCTCCTTGGGGTGCTGAACGAACCTGAGTGTGAGTGGTCTGTGTGGGTGAGTCTGAGTGTGAGTGGGTCTGAGTGCGAGTGACTCTGAGTGCGTATTAGTCTGAATGTGAGAAATGAGCGTGAGCGTGTGCGTGCACATCTGAGTGTGAAAACATCTGAGTAGGAGTGAGTCTGATTGTTGAGTAGGAGTGTGGGAGTATGAGTGAGTACGAGTGTAAGTTTGAGTGTGAGCGAGTCTGGCTCTAAGTCGCCCAAGAAACAGCACAACGGTACATACCTAATATCGAAGGGACGCGAATCTTATTTCTAGATTGTGGCAGATTCAGGGCGGGGACGGGCAGATGTCCCTATCCTTGGCGGTCCCCCCTTCGGGTGCTCCAATGTCACGCCTGCTAGATCGCAATGAGCGTGGGCCTCAGGCTCTGGACGAGAACAGCCTCATCAACCAAACAGACAAGCCGCCTGAGACATCACCACCATCGGGGCGCCAACGGGCAAATGGCCTACCCCCTGGCGGCTCCCTCCTTGGGGCTGCTCTAATGCCACGCGTGCTGCGTCGCGATGAGCATAAGGCTCATTGGGGTAAAGTAGCGCCTCGATCGAGACATCCCCGCAACATGTTCTGAAAGAGTCCAAGTCCAAGCCATCAAACAGTCGAACCGCCTCAGGCATCTCCACAAGCTGGGTGCGAACGGGCAAATGTCATACCCCCTGGCGGCTCCCTCCTTGGGGTGCTGAAACCAGAACCTCGCTCGAGCCAGTCTCACAATACGTTTGGAAACACCCAAGTCGAAGCCACCAAACACGCATAGCGCTTGAGGCATCCCCACAAGCTGGGCGCGAACTGGCAAATGCCTACCCCATGGACGCCCTCCCGTGGGCCTCTTGGGCGCATCGTGGGGAATCCTCGAGTGATCCTGGGCCCTCGTCGGTTGTTTCTGTTGCCTTTGGGATATGTCTTTCGGCCGTCTTAGGCTTTTCGGGAAGCAATATTGGATTGGAGACAGCGTGAATCGCCTTGGTGACGAGATGAGCGAGTGGTTGTGGGCCAGCTGCAACGGCAACATCGTGTCTTCAAATATGTTCGGCTTCTCTTCTTATATTATAAGATTTGATTAGTACTCGTATTATTCCTCTTCGTGGTACGTCTGGGATGTTGGCTGCGGGGATGCAGAGGTGAGAACTAGTCGATAGTTTGAGCAATGCTGCGTGGCTTCCACTGCCTGGACACCCCTACAGCGGGGGGCACGGACATGTCAATTGCGCGCATGGGTCTAGCATGTTGGTTTTCGATCTCAGAGGTTTCAAGAATGCGTCCCCTCCTAAGGTATCCTCATCCGCATTTCCTGTGCAGGACTTCTTTTCGCCCCCTCATTCAGGCATCCTCCTCTGTCTGCATTGATGTCAAAGCTCACATCTGGACGCCATGGGGTCTCCAGGTATCTTGGGCCTTTCCCACTGAGCCGCCAGAGCTTTTGTGCAGGTCAAGTTCCGAACGGGCGGCTGCAAACATGTGCCGAGGAAAAGCCGAATGTAGAGAAGAACAAGGGGAATGATAATGAGGAGGAGGAAGGGGGTGGGGGGAGGGAGGAAGGAGGAGGAGGAGGACGGACAAGAGAGCAGGGAACAGGCAGCTAGAAGTAGGGATGAAGGAGGAGGGAGGAGAGAGCAGCGGCGAGGAAGCAGGCAACAGAGAGCTGAGGGAAGGAGGGAGGGAGGAGGGACGCGCTGTTGTTGCAGTGGTGCAGATTTTCCCCGATAGGTTCAGCTTCAGGAGTTTCTGTCCGTGACCAATCTGGCTCAAGGGTAGAACACCTAGTCTGTCTCCGTCTGCCACAGTTGGTAGCGGAGCGTGGCCCGGGGCGAGGTGCCATGGGCGGAGGCGACCCTGCCACGCGGTAGGCGGCCTCCCGCTCGCGCGCCCTTGCCCGCGGCTGCGCTCGCACCGACGAGGTAGCGTGGGATCCACGGCCAGGTGGTCATGCCCGCTGACGGCGAGGTTGGGACGGAGGCAACAGACTTTCACGTGGGCGGAGGCAGCCAGGACGCTCCAGGCAGCAGTTCAGGCGGCCAGAACGCCACGGTGACCATCCGACGAGATGAGCTTAGGGACTTGATCAAGAGCGTAGTGTCCGAGACTATGAGATCAGGAGCTCAAGACTCGGGAGGTCATCGAGGCGGCGCCCGCGGGGAGCAGTCTCACGACGAGTGGCGCGACACCGGCAGGGATCCTTGGCGAGAGGGTCGCGATCGAGGCGCTCACAGCGGTGAGCGGGAGGCTGGAGGCGAGGGCCACCAGCGCGATCGTCGAGATGGTGACAAGGACGCCGGAGGAGAGGGCCGGTGGCGTGACCAAGGCGGTGGCTGGGACAGCCGCGACGGTGGCCAGGGCAAGTCCGGGTCCGGGGAAGCCTGGAGCTCAGGCGACATGGGACGGCGGCTGGGGCGACCGCAGGAGATCCGCGTGGGACAGCGGAGACGGTGGAAGCTGGGGGGGTCGAGGCGACTTTAGCGACCCGCCCAACTGGCCCGGATGGGCCCACTACCGACAGGGGAAGCGAGCGCTCAGGCGCTGGAACACGAACACGGATGTGAAGTTGTGGAGGCGTGCCGAGAAGTTTCTCAAGCTCTTCGAGTACAGCTTCCAGGCCAAGTTTGACGAAATCAGCGAGGACAAGTTGTGCTCGGCAGAGTGGATCGACGTCATCCTGCAGCGCATGGACCTCATGGCTGGCGAGCGGGAAGGTGACGACCTCCGGCGCGCCGGCAGGAAGGCCTTCTTCGAGGCTTCCAGAGAGGCGAAGGAGGGACTGACTCAGTTCGTCTACCGCCGAGAAGCGCAGCTGCAGGAGGCTGAAGGCATGGATCTCTGGATGAACTCCAAGCTGAAGGGGCTGCTGTTAGAGGAAGGTGCCGGTCTATCCGCGCAGGGGGCACAGAACTTGCGCACCCTGACCCAGGGCAGGACCGACTTTGAGAACGTGGCCTGGGCGCTGAAGCAGATGGACGCTGGGGGGGCCGAGCGGCTCCCCCCTGGCCGCGGTGGCGCGGCGCTGCTGGCAGAGAGTGAGGGCTTCGGCCCAGGCGCTGGTGACGCCGCGAGCGGTGCTTTTCAGGCCTCTCCTCCCCCTCCCTCCGGTCGGTCAGAGGTAGGTGTCGACGGTGAGGAGGACGACGCCAACTACTACGACTACGACGAGGAGGTGGAGGGTGACTCTGCAGACGAGTCAGCCTGGGATGCCGAGGCGCTGCTCGCGGAGCTGGAGGATCTGAACCTGTGCGAGGACCAGCTGGAGGAGTTCTGGGTCATGATGGGGGGCAGGCGTCCGGCGGGCAGGACGTGGAAGCAGAATAAGGAGCTGAAGAGAGCGGCTCGGAAGGACCGCGAGTACTTCGGCGTGAAGCCGAAGGCGGGCGATCGGCATCCGCCTCGTCGTCCTCCCCCTCCTCCGGCAGGAGCATCACGAGCTAGAGACTCTGGCGGCCGACGTGATCGAGGGGCATCCGGCAGAGGCCGGGAAGGTCGCGGCGTCCGCGGCAGACTGACGATCGAGCAGCAGGTGAAGGTGACGAGATGCAAGCGGTGCCAGCAGAGAGGACATTGGGGACGAGAATGCCCGAAGTACGGGGACCACGTTGGAGGCGGTCAGGCCAGCGGAGACCAGCGCGCCCGCGCCGGAGGAGAGCGACAGAAGATGTCGGCCTACATGTTCGAGGGCTTCTCCGGCGAGAGTTTTCCCATGTGGAGGGATGAGGCCGACCAGATCTCCTCCGGGGCGATCTACATCGCGGCAGAGGCGGACCAGGCGCTGGTCGACCCCGGGGCCGGGAGTGACTTGGTGGGGGTGCAGGCGCTCAACCGGGAAGCACAGGCGCTGGCCACCCACGGGCTGACGTACGTCGAGATCCCCCGGTCTCATCGCCCCCTCAAGGCGGCCCATGGTATCGGCGGCATGGGTAGGGCCATCAGTGCGGTGCTGTTCCCGTTGTGCCTGGGAGGCGTGTTCGGGATCATCGAGGCCACCGTTCTGGCGGATAACGTTCCGCACATCCTTTCAGTAAATCTGCTCGATTTCCTCAAGTGCATGATCGACCTGCCAGGCAATCAGATGACCCCCCAGGCCCTGGATGAGGTGATTCCTCTGACTCGCCTCCCCTCTGGTCATCGCCTGGCGCAGATAGTATGCAAGCTAGCCGCTCCCGCCTGCGTTCCCGACTCGGCGCTCAGGCGCTATCCGTTTTTGAAGAAGGACTCCTTTGAGATCGGGGGCAGAGCGCCCCCCGTGATGTCAGACGATGGGGTCGTGTCGCAGTACCTGCTCTCCCTCTCCCTCTTCGTCGTCGTCCTCAGCCTCATTACAATAGCGCGGGGGACGTGCGTGGGGAGGCTCGGGGACCTTCGGGAGTGCCCAGATAAGTTCCAGGGGAAGGTCTTGGGCGGCCTCGGGTGGCCACGAGCTCAGCTAGCGTCAGATCACAGGGCCGGGGCCTCAGGATCAAGTCAAGCTAAGGTGAAGGGCCGACGGCCTCGAGCACGAGCATGACCAGGAAGGTGAATTGGGTTATCGTTGCGTTGCTGACGCTGCTGATTTCTTCCGTAGCCAGTTTAGGCTCAAGTGCAGAAGCTTTCAGCGATACACGTTCCTCAGATCACAGCGAGCAGTCAGAAGGGTCAAGCGATGCCGGCCGCGCCCAGGCTGTCGCGGATACTCTTCCAGCAGGTCATGGGAGGCAAGACCGAGCCGAGGGCAAAGAGGGCGACGGAGAAGTTCCTGGCTCGCCGTCGGAACGAGTCGGAGTCAGAGGTCTCTCTCGAGTCCTCGGTCGACGCGGAGATGCAGGGCACCTTCGTCAACGCGACGGCCGAGGCCATGGCGCAGCAGCCGGGGCCTGGACTAACCAGCGGGCCCAGCAACGATTCGACGGCCTCAGCGGGAGCAGCAGAGGCTCAGGCACAGCTGGGCCCAGCATCCGGAGCGCCGCCCTCGATCGACCAGCCGCTATGGACGGTGGAGGCGGCCCATCCACCCGCGACGCAGCCGGCAGCGGGCTGGGCTCCAGCCCCGGCAGGACCCCCTCCTTCTCAGCCTCAGCAGCCGCCCGGGGACGCAAGCTGGCCAGGAGGCGGGCCCACCCCGCAGCGTCAAGGGGTGCCCCGAGCCCCTCTGACGGGCATCTCAGTGTGGACGGAGTCTGGGACGCAACCGGCCGCCTCGGCCAACCCGTCGGCACCTCGCGGGGCTCCTCAGCTCGGACCTCCAGCAGCAGTCAAGCCCCCGCCGGGCTTCCTGGGCCCACCAGACCCGACGGGGAACACGTTCGTCTATCAGCAGAGCCCATTCGGCGTCGGGGCTCAGAGGACCGCGGGAGGGGGATCATCTTCGTCAAGCGCGGGGGTGACTCCAGCGGCGGCGGCGAGTGCCTCCTCAGGCTCAGGGGCGCCCCCTGCAACCGGGCAGGTGCCGTCCAAGCCGCCGCCCAAGCCGCCGCCCTCGTCTTGCCCGCATCCCACCGACCAGATCAAGTACTATGGGAACCAACACGGATCGGGATCAAGGTGCTTGCAGTGTGGGCAGCGACTGGCGCGGGCACCGCGAGGCGCTCAAGGTCCCGCCGGACCTCCTCAACAGTCGGCCGCAGAGGCCGCGCGCGCCGCCGCCGCCTCAGCGCAGCGAGCGGTGGACATGCTCCAGAACGACCCTACCTTTCGCGCCGGCGGAGCCGCGCTGACTACAGTCAACTCCCTGAGCAGCCTGTTGCAGGGACTACAGTGGCAGCTGTCCCAGGTGCCCGAGGGCGTAAGGGCGCTCTCCCGCGTGCAAGAGGCACTGGACCAGATGACGGCGATAGTGACGGCAGCTCAGCACACCCCCACTCAGGTGGAGGAGGGCCTTCAGCAAATCTTCCAGCAGCTGCTGGCCATCAAGCGCTCGCTCGGAGCCTTCGAGGAGTTCGGGGAGGTGGTGGACACCATGCAGCAGACGATGGTGGGCATGCAGATGCAGCTGAACACCGTGGAGACGGCAGTGCAGCAGATGGCGGGGATGCTCGTGCAGATCGGCAACGCGGTGACAGGCCTCTACAACCACCAGGTGGTCGCTCAGCAGGTGGTCGCTCAGCAGATGGAGATGGCCGGGGCGGCGCCGCCCCAGGTGCAGCACAGCCCCGGGGACCCGTGGCAGGCTCATGCGGAGAGCCAGCCTCCTCCGCCGAGCCACCCCCCGCCGGGCTGGAACTCCCAACAGGAGCAGGGAGGAGCACCTACTACGCAGACGACCACGACGGGCCAGCCTGTCAGCCTGTTGCTCCACGAGCTGGGGACCATCCCGGAGGAGGGCCCGGTGCTGGACAGCCCGGAGTGGGAGATCCTCCCAGACCAGCTCTAGACCGCCGGGGGGCCCGCGGGAGGCGACAGGCCTCTCGCGAGAGGGGCCCGAGTTTCAGCCTTTCTGCCTGCTTCGCTCAGTGCGGCTGTGGGGCCCCTGACCACCACAGCACTTCTGGCCCTCGAGGGGCACCTCAGAAACAGAGCGCTCCTCACCTTCCCTCCTCTCACCCTGACTCCTCACGGGGCTCGGAAAGACCGAGGCGGACTTGGGACGATGTGGGGCCCGAGTGGCTGGATGGGGACGTCACTAATGACGACCACGAGGTGACCTGCGGCGCCTCGGTCCGGCGCGCTCTCGGCGAGTGCGCAGCCATGTTTGGGGTCGGCGGCGCTGATGTGGGTCAACAGCCAGAGCTCGACGAGAGCTACCCCACTCGCCGGAGAGCTAAGGTCTCCTTCTCCGAGGTGTTCTCTCCTCCCAGGATTGCTCCTGAGGTGGCCAAAGCGGGAGCCCCTCTTGGAGCCCGAGCCAGTTGGGACCTTCGCCAGGGATGGGATTCGTCTCGAAGCTCTGACGTCAGAGAGCTCTGGAGGCACCTCGAAGAGGATAAGCCAGAGACCGTCTGGTTGTGTTCCGAATGTAGGGCGTTTTCTGCGATCAATCGCCTCAATCGGGATAGGATGGGCCCCGCGGAGTGGCAGAAGATCGTGGCTGATGGCGTTCGGGATCTAGTGCTCTGCATGGAGATCGCGGAGCACCAAGTCAACCAAGGCAGATACTTCGCGTTCGAGCATCCTCTCTACGCGTCGTATTGGGGCTCGTTTGTCGTTCGCTGCGTCGCGTCGCTCCCGGGGGTCAGACGGACCCGCGTCGATATGTGTAGCTTCGGAATGCAGGTGGACAGTCGAGGACTGAACAAGAAGCCCACCGGACTGCTGTCCAACCATCCGCTTCTCCTTCAGCGCCTGGAGAGGCACCTTTGCGCCGGGGGACATCAGCACGCCATCCTCGAGGGAGGCTCGATAACCACCAAGGCGGGCCGCTACCCTCCCCAGTTTTCTCGAGCTGTGGCCAGAGCCGTGGCTGAGCAGTGGGCGGGGGCCCCCATCAGGAGCAAGGCGGCTTGGGCCGATCTCGTCGAGCACGACTATCCGGAAGGGGAGACCGGGCCTGCTGAGGGGGAGAGCGAGGTTGTCTCGAGTGAGAGCGAGGGCGAGCCAGAGACTCGACCGGCGTCGAAGGGAGACAAAGCCACCTTCGAGGAGCTCGAGCCTAGCGAGGAGGAGAAGAGACGTATATACAAGCTCCACGTTAACATGGGGCACCCGGAGGTCAGAAAGTTTGCGGGGGTGCTCAGGGCGGGAGGGGCGAAGCGCCGACTTGTGCGCTGGGCCCGCACCAAGTTCCACTGTTCCGAGTGTGCCGAGAGGGCCCGATCGGGCCTTCATCGAAGAGTGGCGCTCCCGCGCACGTTTAGGTTCAACCACATCGTGGGGGTGGACCTCATATACTTAGAGTTCCAAGGGGTGACGAGGCCATGCCTTAACATCGTGGACCATGGATCTAACCTTCAGGTGATGGTCCGAGTCAAGGCGGCCACTGCCTCCGAGGTGTGGTCGGAGTTCCTTCGAGCGTGGATCAGGCCTTTGGGGGCCCCCCAGTTACTGATCTCGGATGGGGGTTCGGAGTTCGGGGCGCGCTTCGCCCGCGGTCTCGAGCAGTGGGGGGTGTGCCACCACGTCTGCGACGCAGACTCCCCCAGGCAAAATGGGAGGGTTGAACGCCACGGGGGCTGGGTCAAGGAGCGAGTGCGCTCGGAGCTGGAGGCGGGATCTTTCGTGCCGGAGACGATCGAGGAGCTCGACGACCTCATCGCTGAACTGGTTGCTCACAAGAATCGCTTTTGGCACCGCGGAGGGTTCTCGCCCCTCCAGCTCGTCTTCGGAGAGAACCCCCGCCTCCCACACGACATCCTCTCTGACGACCATCGGGGGCCCCCCGGCTGGCAAGACCTCGTTCGTCCTTCGGCTGAACAGGACGAGGCCGGAGCCGAGTTTGCGAGAGCGCAGCAGATCCGGGCCGAGGCTCGACGGTTGGCGATGGAGACGACGTCTCGCGAGAAGATTAGCCGCGCTTCGAGGGCGAAACCGCCCGTCGCCCAGAGATATACCCCCGGGCAGTGGGTGTTCGTGTGGCGACACTTTTCCCGCACCTCCTCTAGAGCGGACGCTCTCGGCCGCCGGAGGGATGGGTGGTGCGGCCCAGGGGTGGTCGTTCTTAGCGAGGGGGGAACCGTGTGGGTGGCCGTCAGGGCCCGCCTGTGGAAATCCAGCCAAGAGCAACTTCGACTTGCTAGTCCCGAGGAGGAGTACGGGCTTCAGTTAGCCCAAGACCCCCAGTGGCAGGAGCTCCTGCTCGCCTCGCGCACCAAGCGAGTCTCCGCCGTCGATGTGCAGCGAGAGGGTCTCCCTCCCGACGACTCGCTCGACGAGCCTGCGATCGTGGACCCTGACGCGGGGCCGAGGCTTCCGGGGCCCGCGGCCGTTCCCCAGGAGGAGACCGGACCCGAGGAAAGGAGCTCTCGACCCAATCCTTCTCGGGTCGGGCCCATGGGCCCCCCGAGGCTCCCTCCCTCGAGGGCGGGATCTCGAGCCGGATCGGTGGTGGCTCAACCGGGGTCACGACTGCCGTCGATTCCAGAGACCCGAGCGCCATCCGAGATGGCCAGGTCGGTCACCCCTCCCACTGCTCCCCCCTCTCCTCGCCGTGACGAAGGGGAAGGCGAGGGGCCAGAAGAGCCCAGGCCCCCGTCGGCCGCACCAGGGCCATCGGGAGGAGCGTCAAGCGGGGACGGGGACCTCACTCGCCCACCTCCTCCCGCTCCTGCTTCCTCACCTCCTGCTCCCGCTCCGGCCGAGGGGAGGCAGGGTCGGACGAGGCTGAGGCAGCCGTCCGACGTGCCCCTGTGCTCTCGCGGGCTCGGGCAGAGAGCTGCCCGCCCGAGATGAAGAGGGCCAAGACGGAGGGGGGCTCCGACTCTCCGGCGCCAGCCCCGCCCGGGGCACCGAGCCCAGGGGGGGCCTCTCTCATCCCTCCCTCTCCGGGGGTTGGTGGTGGTGGTGATGGTCTTGGTCCTGGGCCAGGATCTCCCCAGGAGCGCCCCCCGGTGGTCTCGGGCAGTGAGCCCTCAGCTTCCGTCCGGGACCGCGCGAGGGCGATTGAGGAGCGCGGTCGATCTCGGTCCCCAAGCGGCACGGGGTTCGAGGGGGCCACCGAGGATTTCGCGATGGTGGCCGAGCAGGGGGGTGTTCGGGCTTTCCCCATGCAGTCGAGCTGGACCGGAGTCTGCGAAGACGGCGGCACTTTCGCCACGGGTCGCGGGGCCGAGGTTTCTCTCAAGAAGCTCTCTCCGGCCGAGAGGGCCAAGTTTAGTGCTTCGGACCAGAAAGAGTGGGCCGCCATGATGGGGACCGGGGCCGTTCGAGTCATTCCCCCAGCCAAGGCGCGAGTCATCCGTCGAGAGCTCCCGGACAGGATCATCTCCAGCCGGATGGTCCGTAGGTGGAAGCCGGTGGAAGGAACGTTTGCGGAGCCGGAGGCCAAATCCAGGTGGTGCGTGCACGGCCATCGCGACCCGGACTCGGGCTCGCTGGCGGTGTACGCGCCGACTCCCCAGACCTCTTCGATCATGATGTTTTTGCAGGTTTCGGCCAACCTACACCAGCTCCTGGACATAGCCGACGTTAAGAACGCTTTCTGTCAGTCCAACCCTATGCAGCGTGCAGCGGGACAGATCCTTGTTGAGCCCTGCGAGGGCATAGACCTAGAGCCGGGGGCCCTCATCGAGTTTCTAGTGAACGTATATGGGTTGGACGACGCCCCAGTGGCGTGGAGGCGCACGGTGGTAAGCTACTTGGAGCAGAACGGCTTCGTCCGAAGCCTGCTGGAACCGCGTTGGTGGATGCGATATGGGTCCGAGGGCCAAATCCTCAATATGATGCTGCTAGAGGTAGACGACTTCATGATCGGCAGTTGTGACTCGACCTCGAGAGCGTGGCTCCGGCAGTTGCTGGAAGCAAGGTTCAAGTTCGGCAAGTACCGGGACTGCCACGAGAGTCCAGTGGACTTTGCCGGACGGCGGATCACGCTCGGAGAGCACAAGATCACGGTCGATCAAGAAAAGTAAATCCTTGAGGAGGTTCGGCCTTTGAGCCTGGCCAAGGGAAGAATGTCTCGCAGTGACTCCCCACTCGAGCCTGACGAGTTTCGAGCACTAAGATCCTTGGTATACAAGTTCAACTGGGTCGGCAGGGAGTCCAGGCCCGAGGCTGCAGGCAGAGCATCGATCTTGGCCAGTCGCCTGAAGAGCGCGACGATCTATGACGTGTCCTGTGCCAACAAGTTAGTGAAGCATCTACGGACGACAGCCTCCCGAGGGCTGACGATCTGGAGCCTAGACCCCGACCGCATGGCGTTCGTGTCGTTTTCCGATGCCGGGGGAGTAGGAGCGGACATCAAGATGAATGACGATCGGGGGACCCCGGCCGACCCAACCCAGGGGGCTTGGATGGTGCTGGCGACCGACAAGTCAGTGCTGCTTCATAACTCGGTCAAGGCCTCGTTCCTGGGCTGGAGGAGCAGCAAGCTGAGGCGTAAGGTACCGTCTACCTTGGCCGGGGAGACCCAGGCATTGTCAGCCGCCGTGGCTGAGGTGGAGTACCTTCAGGTGCTCTGCCGGGACGTGATGTTCCAGGACGTGGACGTCCCTGAGTGCAGGCGAGCGTCCGGCCCCTTCACTACCGTGCTTCGTAGGGACTGTAAGTTAGGTTCCCGAGAGAACCAAGTACATGTTGTGGATGCAAAGTCTATTTACGACACTATGTTGAAGGAGGGGAACGCCAGCGCCAAGGACAGGCGCACCGCCCTGGACCTCGCAATAATCTGCGAGGCGCTAGAACGCGCGCGCGGGAGTGTGCGATGGATCCCCCACGGCAGGATGCCAGTCGATCCACTGACAAAGGACGACATCACCAAGAGCAATGCCGCCCTGTATGACC